GGTGCCGGGCGGGTGCGCACTGCTGCCTGGCAGTGCGCGTTGCGCGCTATCAGTGCGTGCTGCTGTGCGGCGCTGCCAGGCGGTGCCTACTGCTGTGCAGCCTGCCGTGTGTGCTACTGCCTATGACTGCTCCGCAGTGCGTTGCCGGATGGTGTGCCCATAACAATGTCAAGTTTGAGATGTGAGAGTTGTGAGCTTGCAAAGCATTGTAGAACATCTTATTCCTTGAGTAATAAAAGTAGTAATTCTTTTGATGTTGTGCACATCGATGTTTGGGGCCCGTATCACATCCTTTCTATGGGGGGGGTTACAGATATTTCTTGTTGTTTGTTGATGACTATACCCGTTTTTCTTGGGTTTACCTTATGCGTTATCGAGATGAGGTTCCTGTTCTGATCCAGACCTTTCATCAGATGATTTTAATCTAGTTTGGGGTCAAAATCAAAATCCTCAGATCTGATAATGTGAAAGAATACTTTACCAAGCCACTGGCCTCTTATCTACTTGATCATGGGATTATTCACCAGAGTACTTGTCCTTATACACTACAACAGATTGGGGTTGCCGAGAGGAAGAATAGGCACATATTGGAGGTGGCTATCCGTTTCTGGGGCGATGCTATTCTTACAACAGTGTATCTCATTAATCGAGTTCCTTCACGGGTTCCTGACATGAAGCCTCCGTTTACTCTTCTATACCCCGATGAAGAATTATTTACTGTTCCCCTTAAAACCTTTGGTTGCACTTGATTTGTTCAGATTCTTGGATCTCATCGTTCCAAATTTGACCCTAAGGCCTCCAAATGCGTTTTTCTCGGTTATGCACAAACTCAAAAGGGTTATTGCTGCTATGAACATACTTCCGGGAGGAGATTTGTCTCGATGGATGTTACTTTCTTTGAGGAGGTACCCTATTACCCTAGGGTTTTTCCTCAGGGGGAGAGTAGTGAGAATGGGGTTAACTCATCAGAAGTTCCTTTACCCATTCCATTGAGTGATGAGGGATGTAATGGGGAGGGTTGTCAAAGGTGCCAGGAGTTGAAAGTCTATCATAGGCGTGGAGGCAGGTTGATTTCGGTCATCAGCAGTCCAGGCCAGCCCCAGTTCCTTCTACGGATCCAAATCCAGGTACTACAGTCCCTTTATCAGATCCAGGTCCCACTGAGATACCTTCCACTGTTGCTACTTCACCTTCTTTGGATGACCTTGACCTCCCTATTGCAGTCCGTAAAGGGAAACGACGTTGCACCACATCCACAGCTCACTGCATTTCC